GCAGGTCTTTTAAGAACTAGATGCCTGGACTCCTTGCTTGCTTGACGTGGTGTCAAAAAACTGGCTTTATGTTGCGTAGGCAAGCAGACCCAAGTCTGGTTCTGTTAACAGGAACACAAGTATGCCTGGCATTGTGTGAGCTCAAGGGATGGCCACTTTTCCTATGGTTCTACCCCTGCATGCGTACACTGCTCAGCACACAGCTGAAGGCCTGGAGCGAATGCTCTGCGGACCTCCGGAACCCTGTCTCCATGCAGCTCTCTCCTCTTCAGTGTCCTGCCCTCTGAACTGCGGCCTCCCCAGATTCCCAGCTCCCTCTCCTCAACTCTGGGAGATCATCAGGCTGAGCCTGGATGCCCCCCGCCACACACACACATCACTGCCTGAAAATTCTCTTTAGGCAGTAATCTTGGGAAATCGTAGGGTTCATCCTGTTTGTTTTCTGTCTCTCAGGGATCACCATCCTATTCTGCCTGTTGTCCATTGTCTGAATATCATTGTTTCATACGGTTTGCCCATTTTTCAGGTGTTTCATGCAGGAAAGTAGAGGATAGTCCCTATTATCCCCCTGTGGATGGAAACAGAAGTTGGCCTATGACTTTGGAGGGCTTCCCTGGTGGCTCAGTGGTAAATTCCTGCCAATGCAGAAATTTGGGAGATGTGAGTTTGATCTCTGGTTTGGGAAGATCCCCTGAGAAGGAAATGGGAACCCACTCCAGTATTATTGCCTGGAAAATCCCATGGACAGAGGAGCCTGGTGGGCTACAGTCCATGGGGTCAAAAAAAGTCAGAGACAATTTGGCGACTGAGCACACTGCTCTGACTTTGGAGGAGTCAGTCAGTCAGTTCAGTCACTCAGTCCTGTCTGATTCTTTGTGACCCCATGGTCTGCAGCACGCCAGGCCTACTGCTGCTGCTGCTGCTGCTAAGTAGCTTCAGTCGTGTCCGACTCTGTGCGACCCCATAGACGGCAGCCCACCAGGCTCCCCCGTCCCTGGGATTCTCCAGGCAAGAACACTGGAGTGGGTTGCCATTTCCTTCTCCAGCACAGGAAAGTGAAAAGTGAAAGTGAGGTCGCTCAGTAGTGTCGGACTCTTAGCAACCCCATGGACTGCAGCCCACCAGGCTCCTCCGTCCATGGGCTTTCCCAGGCAAGAGTACTGGAGTGGGGTGCCACTGCCTTCTCCGCCAGGCTTCCCTGTCCATCACCAACTCCCAAAGCTTGCTCAAACTCAAGTCCATCGAGTTGGTGACGCCATTCAACCATCTCATCCTCTGTCGTCCCCTTCTCCTCCTGCCTTCAATCTTTCCCAGCATCAGTCTTTTCCAATGAGTCAGTTCTTCACATCAGGTGGCCAAAATATTGGAGTTTCAGCTTCAGCATCAGTTGAGACTTTGCTGTAAACGTTACTTTTTTTGCTTCTTGGGTCTTCTTCAGTCTCCTTTAACCCTTCTGGCTACAATAACCAGCATAAACACTCCTGTGTATCACACTCCATTGTATCTTTCTACTGAAAAGGGGGAGGCTTTATACTGTAATGTACACACCACCTATTTTAATTGTGTATAATTAATTTTGTCTTATCACAGGAATGCATTACGTAGTTTAGAAAGTCAAACAGGACTAAATAACTTTGTTGAAAAACAATAGCCCCTGTCACACTCCTCCCTAATTCCCAGTCCCTATTCCCAGAGGCAAACACCCTCAAAATTTCTAGTTGCTTTCTCTGATATTTACCTTCATATTTCCAAACAATCTGATTTAACTAGTACTGCTGTTTGCTCTTTCTTTTTTTTTAAGTCTTTCTCTATGACTTTCTCCTCTGGAAGGTGAGATTTATTTCTCTCTGTCTTACCCCTCAGCGCACAAACACATGCACGTTGCTGCTACTTTCCCAATATCATTAAATCCAAACTTAAAGTTAATTCAATATTTAGCATTTAGATAGATGCTAGATATTTAGATAATTATGAAACTGTAGTAATTAGTCACAATTGAGCCAAGTAATATACTATGGTCCATTCTTATTTCTTCAAAAACTTTTTATTTTCTTTGTAGTTAATAATTATCTGGAAAGACCAACAACCCAGTAGAGAAATGGCCAAAGAACATAAATATTTCACAGAAAAGAAATGCAAATGGCTCTTAAATTATTAAAAAGATGCTCAATCTCACACATAAGATAAATGAAAATTAAAACTACATTGAGATAGCATTTCTCATTTATCAGCTTGGCAAAAATCCAAGAGTTTACAACACAGTCTGTGAATGAGGCTTCAGGGAACAGGCATTTTCATATATTGCCAGTGGGAAGGCAAAACAGCACAACTCACATGGAGCGGGATTTAGAGATATCAAGCAAAATTACAAATGCATTTACCCTTTCACCCAGCAGTCCCACTTCAGGGAATTTGTCCTGCAGCTATAGCAGCACACACTTGAAACGATGTATGTATATAGTTATTCATTGTGGCATTTATTTACAACAGTAAAGTACTAGAAAAAAAATAAGTGTCTTTCTAAAGAGAGCTGGTCAAATAAACTACTGTAAACCCACACAATGGAACACTAAGCCACTTGACAAAAGAATGAGGAAGCTTTCCACAGAAAGATCTCCAGGATATAGTGAAAAATGAAAATAGCAAAATGTAGAACAATGTATATAGAGTATTTTTTTTTAGAGTATTTTAAAAAATAAGATAGTATCAGGACTTCCCCAGTGTCTAGTAGTTAAAACTCCACCTTCCAACAGCAGGGAGCGCAGGTTCATGAAATTAATATCCAACATGCCACGCTGCACCCAAAAAAATTAAATAAAGTAAGAGTCTATTCATATTGACACCTACCTTATTTTAAAAAATACTGGAACTTAATATGAATATAATTAACACACTGAACTGTACACTTGAAAATGATTATGATAATAATTTTATTTTTTTTGTGCATGCTCAGTCACTCAGTTGTGTCTCTGCCGCCCCATGGGCTATATAGCCTGCCAGGCTCCTCTGCCCATGGAGTTTTCCAGGCAAGAATACTGGAGTGGGTTACCATTTCCTTCTCCAGGGAATCTTCCTGACCCAGGGATTGAACCCACATCTTCTGTGTCTCTTGCACTGCAGGCAGATTCTTCATGTGTTTTTTTACCATGGTTTAAAAAAAAAATCGGAAGCATCTGTGAGAAGTTAACGTAATACGGTTGCTTATTTGGGAGGAAACCATGTGCATAAAGTCACTTATTTTGCTTTTCTTTTTTGGCTGTGCTGGGACCTCACTGATGGGAGGGCTTTTCTCTAGTTGTAATGCAAGGGCTTCTCGCTGCAGTGGCGTCTCTTGTTGCAGAGGATGGGCTCTCAGGCACACAGGCTTCACTAGTTGCGGCACACGGGCTCAGCACTCGTGGCTCCTGGGCGCTAGAGCGTAGGCTTAGTAGTCGTGGCCAACGGACTTACCTTCTCTGTGTCATGTGGGATCTTCCCTGATCAGGGATTGAACCCAGGTCTTCTGCGTTGGCAGGCAGATTCTTATCTGCCTGTGCCACCAGAGAAGCCCATTTATTTTGCTTTTTATATCATTTTGATTTTTCCTCCATGTGAATGTGCGACTTGTTAAAAAATGAACATAAATTTAAAATATTGTCTGGGGGGGTAATTTTTATTTTCTTTTTCTGATTACTCACTTATCCCCAACCCCTCTTCCTCTCAATGTGGTCAAACTCGCCTGCTAGCTTGGCAGCACCCTTTTTCTTGGAGGCTGCCTTCTGGAGTCCTTCACTCTCCTCCTCTAATCTGGGTTGGCTGGCCCTTGGTTCTGCTTCACAGCTACACCTTGGAGCTTACCTTCACTGACAGTCTGGGAATTCCCTTCCCCCTTTTCCTGTGTTAGAGCCCTGTTTCCTGGATCCTAAGTCCTGTTCTGTTTACTTCTTTGTGGACATATTTCCAAGAACTTCCTGAGAAACATTTGTTTTGCTTTATGTGTTTAAGTGTCTTGAAGTGCTTGTTATCCTAATCCCATCCTTAATTGCTAGTTTGCCTGGAGTAGAATCTTAGGGAAACATTTTCCCTTAGGATATCAAGGTCTCCTAGTTTCTAGCATTGCTACGAGAAATCTAAGACTAATTCCTGATCCTTTGTGTGAATGCAAATCTTTTTTATCACTCTCCCTCTAAAATTTTGGGGCTTCCCTGATGGTAAAGAATCTGCCTGCAATGCAGTTCAATCCCTGGGTCAGGAAGATCCCCTGGAGGAGGGCATGGCAACCCACTCCAGTATTCTTGCCTGGAGAATCCCATGGACAGAGGAGCCTGGCGGGCTACAGTCCATGTGGTCGCAAAGAGTCCCACGTGACTGAGAGATTAACGCTTTCAGTTTTCTAAAATTTTGGTTCTTAGAAAGTTTCTAGTATTATTTCTTTGGTAGAATGTGCTCAGTCGCATGACTGTCTACGGCCCCATGGACTCTAGCCCATCAGGCTCCTCTGTCCATGGAATTTTCCAGGCAAGAATACTGAAGCAAGTTGACATTTTCTACTCTAGAGGATCTTCCTGACCCAGGGATAGAACCTATGTCTCTTGGGTCTCCTGCATTGGCAGGCGGATTCTTTATCACTAGCTCCACCTGGGAAGTCCCCATTATTTCTTTGATAGCTTCCTCCCATCTCCTTTCTCTTATTAGTTGGATACATTATTCTCCTGTCGCCCTAATTTTTATATTTCCTCCCCTACTGCCCAATGCCTTGTTTTCTTCTGCTTTCTTAAGAGATTTCCTCAACTAGACTTTCCATTCCTTTGGTTAATTGTTTTCACTAATTTATATCTAATTTCTGATTAAATTTCTAATTGCTTTTTAATATAATCTTGTTATTTCATGACTCTTCTCAAAAAATATTAGTTACCATTTTTGAAAGATTTCTTATTTTCTTTGTGATTTCTTTTTCTCTATGTGCTTTACCACTTTCTTTTTCCCATTGGATCCCTCTTCAAATGCCTGCTGACCCTTGGCTATCCTTTCATACTATCCATCCAGTCAAAGCTATGGTTTTTCCAGTAGTCATGTATGGATGTGAGAGTTGAACCATAAAGAAGGCTGAGTGCCAAAGAATTGATGTTCTTTGTTTTTAGAATTAATGTTTTTGAACTGTGGTGTTGGAGAAGACTCTTGAGAGTCTCTTGGACAGCAAAGAGATCAAACCAGTCAATCGTAAAGGAAATCAGTCCTGAATATTCATTGGAAGTACTGATGCTGAAGCTGAAGCTCCAATACTTTGACCACCTGATGCGAAGAGCCGACTCATTGGAGAAGACCCTGGTGCTGGGAAAGATTGAAGGCAGGACAAGAAGGGGACCACAGAGGACGAGATGGTTGGATGGCATCACCGACTCAATGGACATGAGTTTGAACAAGCTCTGGGAGATGGTGAAGGACAGGGAAGCCTGGCACGCTGTAGTCCATGGGGTTACAAAGAGTCTTACACAACTAAGCAACTGAACAACAACATGTGCTTTTTCTCTATTTCCCATCGGGTCCCTCCTCAAATGTCTGCTGATCCTTGGATATCCATTCATACTTCAGCATGAGGCACAAAAAAAATCTGTTGGGTAACTGTATGTACTAGCTGGGTCCTGATTGTACCCCAACAGAATACTAGATCTTCAAGGCAAAGATCCTGTTGACCTAAAAAAAAAAAAAAAGCACAATGTGAGTGTTGTGAGATAACTTTTATTTGGGACAAAATGAGGACTGCAGCCTGGACAGCACCTCAGATTAGCCTTTAGAAACTTCTCCAAAGAGGCAGCGGAGGGGAAAAATCAGTATATATGTGATTTTGGTGAAGGGAGAGTACATGGAATCAAGCACATATTTTTCCAGAAGGTTTCTACTAGTCTTGTGAAGCATTTTCTAGTCACGAGGAACAGTCATCATCATGAAGGATTTTAGTGATTTTCTAGATATGGGGAGATACCAGAACTGGGCTCATAAAACTGGCTCCTGAAAATATCAAACTATCTGAAGACCTGTCTTGCCAGTCCCCCCTCCCCTACCACCACCCACAACAGCAGAGTGCCTCATTTCTGCTCTCCACCCTGAACTCCTTTCAGCAGGTGTTGAAGGTCAGCAGCTGCAGCAGTACATGATTTAATCCTTGTAGAGGGAGATGGCAAGTGCCCATGGCAAGTGCCAATTTGTAGTTGACAGTCTATATTAGCTTTGTTTACAGATAGAGCACCTAGAAGATTGTCTGGCACCTAGCAGATGCTCAACAAATATTTGTAGAAGGAAGAAAGAGAGGCGAAAATGGAAGGAGTGAAGGACAGAACCAAAGGGGGAGGGAAAGAAGGACATCTAGAGCTTCCCTGGTGGTTCAGATGGTAAAGAATCCGCCTGCAGTGCGGGAGACTTGGTTCGATCTCTGGGTCAGGAAAATCCTCTGAAGAAGAGAATGGCAAGCCGCTCCAGTATTCTTGCCTGGGAAATCCTATGAACAGAGGAGCCTGGCGGGCTACAGTTCATGGGGTCACGAAGAGTCAGACACAACTGAGTGACTAACAGCCCTAAGTAGAGGCTTTCTTATCTTTTCTGAAAGGTTAGCCTTTTCTTTGGGACCATTCTCTGCGAGTTTTTCCAGAAAAGAATGCTCTAATTTTGTTCCTGGGAGTGCAATCTTAGCTTTCAGGAAGCAGGTACAGAAAGAGGCAAGGGGTTGCATCATTCAGTACACAGATTATTTTTATTCATGTGCTCCTTTTACCTATTTTTGCCTGGTGTTCCTAAGGCTAGATTATTTTTTCAAATCCTATCTTTCCAGCAATGTTCCCTGTAGTAGGGGAAAGAGTCCTTGACTCATGAAACTGAAGGTCTACTGAGAAGAAACATAAACAGAAAACAATATATATATATAAATATATACATGCTGCCTCAGTCGCTAAGTCATGTCTGACTCTTTGTGACACCATGAACTGTAGTCCGCCAGGCTCCTCTGTCCCTGGGATTTCCCAGGCATGAATACTGGAGTTGAGTTGCTATTTCCTTCTCCAGCGGATCTTCCCAATCCAGGGAAGATCCATATATATATAATATATATATATGTATGTGTATATATATATATATGCAATAAATATATTAAGCCTGTTTTAAATATGAATACATATATGTGTGTATATAAATGTCAAATAATGACAGGTGCTATGTAGAAAAATAAAACAAAATAAGAGGATGAAGATGAGTGCATGTACGTGACCTTTCTAGCTCATGGAGGCTTGTTATCATAAAAGACATCTCGATGGAGGCAACATGACTGACTAAGTGTATATCTTGGGGAAAAGTTTTCCAGCCTGACATTCAAAGTACAAATTCTCTGAGGCAACAGTATAGTTAAGGAGGTCAAAGAGCATCAAGAAAGCCAGTGTGGCTGGACAATGATGAGTAAGGAGGAAAACAGTTTGAGATAAGATGGAGGAGGGAGCCAGGGGCCAGATAATGAAGAGGTTGATAGACCACAGTGAGAATCTGAATTGTACTGTGTGACTGGGAGCCACAGGAGGGTTTGGCCAGGGGAGCCCAGGATAAAATTTACATTGGAAAGGATCTCTTGGAGGTCATGTACAGAATAGGATTACAGGAGTGAGAGTGGAAGCTGGGAGCCCAGAGGGGAGGATGTTACCTAGATCCAGGTGAGAGGTGATGGTGGCCCTGCCCAAGTGGTTGAAATCAGATTCTGGAAGGCAGACCTGACAAGATTCAATGAGGACTGGATGAGAGAGAGGACAGTCAAAGACAACTCCTGTTGCACTTTGTTTTGGTTTTGGCAATTAGGTGGTGCCATTGCTGAGGAAGGAGTTGCTAGGTAAGGAATGGGTTTGGGGGTAGAAATCGAGAGTGTGTTTTGGCCATCCCAAGAGTATGGGATGCCAGTCAGATGTCCTGATGGAGATGTCACATAAGCAGTAGATCTGCAAGTGTGATGATTAAGATGAGATATGGGTTAGATATAAATGTGTGAGTAGGGATTCCCTGGTGGTCTATGGGTAGAGCTTGCAGAGGTAGAGTTGTTTCACTTCTAAGGATGCAGAAAAGAGCTGGGTGCCTAACTGCCCTAGGGCCCCCTTCCCTAAACCCAAATCCATCACCAGCCCTGGGTCAGACTGTGCCTTGAGAGATGCCATATTCTTCCAAAACCCTTTGGCAAGAGTTCACTCTGCAGGCACCCACCTTAGAACTTTTTTCATTTCTCAAAAAATCAGTTCCCACTCCTTCACCTGCTGCTCATCTTCCAAAATGTGCTAAACCTCTCATACTTGGAGGACCCACGTTATTATTATTATATAATGATTCATAGTCATTCTAGTATGGTTTTAAGAAACAGACATGTGTGATTAACCCCTCATGTCTCCCCAAGTCTTTTTGAAGGACGGAATTTGTGCGTCACTACAGGAAAAGCTGAGGATTCAAGGTCAGACAGACTGAGTCCCAGTCCCAGCTCCACCATCTACAGATTTGCCAGACTGGGAAGGCTGTTAACCTCCTCCATCCCCACCCTGCTGGCTCAGACGGTAAAGAATCTGGTTGCAATACAGGAGACCCGGGTTCGATCCCTGGTCAGGAAGATCCCTCGGAGAAGGGAATGGCAACCCACTGTAGTATTCTTGCCTGGAGAATTCCATGGACAGGAGAGCCTGGTGGGCTACAGTCCATGGGGTGGCAAAGACTCGACTGAGCAAACACTTTCACTTTCTTCCCACTCCAGTATGGAGATGATACCTACTCTTTGGTAATCGTGAGGAAAGATTGGTACCTTCACTCTCCCATCCCCTTATAAGACAGTTCCCCAACATGGAACTCTGTTCAATGTCATGTGCCAGCCTGGATGGGAGGGGAGTTTGGGGGAGAATGGATACATGTATGTGTATCACTGAGTCCCTTCACTGTTCACTTGAAACTGTCACAACATTGTTAATCAGCTATACCCCAATACAAAATATTTTTGGTGTTAAAAAATTATATATAAAAAAAAGCAGCTCCCTAGAATACATATGTTAGAATGGGAATAAAAATAGACAAAAGGGGAATAAGAAGAAAGAAGCAGCCAGCCTATGAAGGTGAAGGTCCACCCCCTTGCTCAGATGTATTCACAGCTATAACCATTCACGCTCATCAGTCACTTCTTTCTACCCTGGGAACAAAATGTGCTTGACCATGATGCATTTGTCTAACTTTGGAGCACAAGCAAGGAAGTAACATTAATATGATAATTGAGGTCCAAACCACAAAAGAGCTGCATTTCCATTTGGTGATCATAAATCTATGTACCCTCACCCCTCCTCCCAGATTCTCTGCGTCTGGATGAAGAACACCCGTGGAGATTGGATATTGGAAATAGCTGCTTTGTTATGCCTAACATCTTTGCAAAAAGGACCATAGCTTCCTATAAGTTGCTTCCTGAGCTTAAACCAAAAACAAAAATCCCAGAGGAGTATGGGTGCCCTTGGTCCTGGCCAGCCCCAGGTCTCTGCCACATGCTGTGTAGACACTACGCATCCTATACCATGGTCTACGGCAGGTGGTGTCAGAGAGGACTCTGCTTGGTGACAAGTTTCACAGTATTGGAACGAACAATGCTAAGCTATCCACACACTAAAGCAAACAGCACTTTAGACGTTTCTAGAAGTCTAGAAACTCCCTTGATCTTGTCTGAAAACCCATGTCTCTATCTTGATGTTGTTTAGGACCTTTTTTTTGGCGTGGCTCTTGGAAATCTTAGTTCCCCAAGCAGGGATCGAACCCACACCCCCTCCAGTGGAAGGAAACATGGAGTCTTAACCACTGGACTTGCAGAGGAGTCCAGCCCCAAATCAATTCTGATTTGGAGCTCCTTTGGAGCACCATCATCCATAACAATAAATATGGGCAGCTTCCGCTGTGGGCCAGGCATTGGCAGAAACCTGGGGAGCAGTAGCGTGGGCATGGCTTCATTCCTGCCCACGTGGACTGAAAGCATGATGCCACTGTGTACCAACTGAATGGTATTCATGCTCCTTGGGCCTCTCGATGATGCTAATTCCAGCCATGCAAGGTTAGTGTGAGGTCTAATCTGGCAGATTGTGTAACCCTACATGCCTGACATAGATGCTCAGCAAGAGGTCACTATTATTACTGATAATAAGTAAAAGTGGTACTGTTTCCTAGATGTCAAACAAATATCAAAGCCATGAAAGTTTACAGGAGTTCAAAGGGTGGGGCTTTCTAAGTTGACCTGGGAGACTTTGCAAAGGAAATTGCAACCTGACATAGAGAAGTCAGATAAACTACAGAACCCCCAGTTGAACTGGAATTTCAGATAAGCAATGAATACTTTCTGAGTGTATGTATGTCCCCAGTATTACACAGGACATACTTATACTAAAATATTCTTCATCGTTTATCTGAAATTCCAATTTAATTGGGCATGCCCCGTTTTTATTTGCTAAATCTGATAAACCTAATCTGGAAGAAAAGGTAGCATAGATGGGCTGGAAGAAGAAGATGGGGGATCCCCCACAAGTTAAGTGGAAGAACTGCCACACATATA